TTAACTCTCATGAAATAGACAATATAATTTAGCTCAGCAATTTTAAAACCTGCCTGAGAGTCAGTGGGAAGTTTTTAAATGTTGATTTTTATTTCGGTGCCCATTCACTGAAGATTCTAACTCAGTGTGAGGTAGGACCCAACAAGCTGTAGCTCAAGAACTCCCCAGGAGCCATCGATGATCAGCACTGAAGACATGTATTGATCTGGCTGCCATGGCCACTCAGAAGAGAAGACTCAGCAAAACAATTACGAAGCTTACATAGTTTAACAAGGAAGACTAAAACCAAGACACAATAAACATCATACAGCGATCATGTTCTTCAGTATCAGCAGAAATCCAAAGAAGGGAAACATCATATTAATCAAGAAAGAATTAAAGAGATTTTAGCATCAAGGCAAGACAGGCCTGGCCACTCAGACAGGTCGAGAGAGCACACACACCACCAGTGAGCTGAGGCATGGAGATCGCCAGGGCCTCAGGGTGGAGGAGGAATAAGGAAATGAGCTAGAACCGGAACATGAGGAATAGAACAAAGTTGGATAAGTAAGAAAAGCCTAACATTCAACAAGCCTTGAAGATTAGAAAGAAGAGTGGAGATTTGGTGTTGCAAGTTTATAGTTTTTAAACTTTTTTGAACTAGGCATTCTTAGAACAAGAGGTACTATGGTAGCTGTGCCCTACATGCTAAATAACAGTAAGGCTCAGTGCCATAAATAAATAAATGCAAAAACTGCACTAACTTAATATTTTGAGAACCTATCAATTACACAAGGTTTAACAGGTTACCCTTGGTTAGACGGCCTTCCACATATATTCAGGGACCCAGAATAGATAGCTGTTCCTACCTTGTCTGTCTGCCCTTCATAAAGATCTCCATTCAGCTAGTGAAAAGTTCAGCAAACTATTTCTGTATAAGGCCAAATAATATTTTTGGCTTTGCAGGCCATATAGTCTCTGCTCTACTATCATAACACAACAGGAACCATAAACAAATGGGTGGGCTGTGAAATGTTATTTACAAAAACAGGCAGCAAGTCAGACCTGATCCCAAAGCCTTGTTTGCCAACCCCTGGTCTAGGATAGGGAGAAAGAGGCAAAATGGAGGCTTGTGAAGGAGGTTTTCAGGACCCAGACCTGGAAGCAGAATACATCTCCTCCACTAACTCCTCAATAATAAGCCAGAACTTAGTTGAGTCTCCATCTAAGAGTGTAGCTGTGTCTGTTAAAAAAAAGAATGACAATTTGGTTTCTGAACACACATTTCCACTTTCCAGTGAAAAAACAGTCCAGTGTTAAAGAACTGGTTGTGCACAAATTACTGAAAATGATATGACAAATGTAACATACATCCAGGTATATTTGGTTTTGAAAAATTATATACTGCTGGTGCAAAAAACAGTATTTACAAATTGTGGGGTTAACCACACAACAAAATAGTTGATAGTGATGATGCTAAACTACCAGTGATTTACAATGAAAAAGAACAGCAGCAATTTTAAAACACAAACTCGATACCAATAATGAACTGATGAAACATTTAACTGAAAAGTACAAGAATCCCAACTACACTTTCATTACAAGTGTGGCAGGAGTTCTGCTGCATGCCACGTGTGAGACAGTGTGTGGACTTCTTAGAACCAGCATCTATGGCAAGCAGAACACTGAGCTCACTGCACCTGATTGTTTCCTCTGGGTCCATAGTGAATCCTATTTCTTACCTGGCTGTACTGAGGCTGGGACATACCTGAGCTCTGGCCAATGGGACATATGTGGAAGTAATGCATACCACTGCTAGGCCTGGCCACCAAGACGGCCTGTGTGGATCCTCCATTCTCCCTACTGCACCACCTTGGGGGTCAGGTGTTAAATGGTGGCTTTAAGACAAGGAAGGAGCCTGGTTCCTGGATAACGTGGGGAGCTGAGTGACTGTATGCATACAGCAAAGCACCCACTTCTCTCTTCCCCATCATGGTGAATTAGGTTGTGAAAATGAGCAATCAACTTTAACTGTGACAAGTCACTGAGATCTGGGGTTCTTTATCACAGTTGATAACCTATCTTAAAACAGAATTCTAATAAATTCCAGAAATATGCTGTTTAGGGTATGAATACTAACTTTTAAGAGTCCTTTAAAACTCACTTCGACATTTAATGATGTTTAATTATACACAGAAGTGTACAAATTTGCCTTTATTCAGTCTATTAGAAAGATCTTCACAACCCACACTGGGCTGGAAGCAGGAGACTAAGGGAATGAAAACAGCATTTTAAGAAATAGGTCCACTATACTGTATTCATTTGTTCAAAACTCTTTTTCTAGCACCTACTACCTACCAGGCATCATGTTGGAGATTAAGGCAGAAAGATGAATGAAATGCAGGCACTGCCTTCAAGTTGTTCATGGTGGCTGGAGGGAAAAATGTGGCTGGTCTATTAGTCAACAAGGTGATGCCCCATAAGCAAGCAAGACTCATGTAGGAAAGGGCGCAACCCAAGACAGCTCCGAACCCCTCCAAGGGCAGGACAGGCTTCAGAGAAGGCGGTGCATGGAAGGAGACTGAGAGTCAGTATCTAGTAGCTATTAGCAGGGAAAAGTGTTTCAAGAGCCCTGTTCTTTGTTAAGTAACCCAACAAAAAGCCTGATTCATTTCCTCTTTCAGTTTTATTCACGACTACAGGATTTATTCCAAGAACAGAAGCAAAATACAGTATTTTTTGTGACTTTTAAGGTTGTTTCTTCAGATGGTTTAACTTATACTATAAAATAAAAACTCTAACTTCTAAGAAAAGTGTTCTTGAGTACTTTAAAAATTTTTGGCATAAGGAAAATTATCCAGTTTTAATCACACACATTAGTCACTCAGAGTATAAGGACATGGTTCCCGTGCACCTGCAATCACAGCTGAGCCAGGTCACTCACAAAGAACAAAATCCAGTTTCACTGCTACAGATTTTACCCTTAACTTTGTTAGGCATTCTCACAAACATCAGTCACAAGAGTCCAGGAGACTCTATAAACAGACCTATTTAGCACTACTGGAAAAAAAGATTCACAGCATGTGTGCTAGTCTATAGCTTCAAAAATGTATTCGGTGTAGATGCTAATTGAGAAACCTAATCTGTCCCATACACCGAAGGGATGCTAACGGGAAAATAGGTAGGAGTGCAAGTTATGTAAAGACAACATTACCTTGACCATAGCCTCCCACATTCCACTCAAGATAAAGTTGCTTTCCAAAAATGTGAACTGCATTTGCATCCTTCAATCTTATTTTAATACAATTAATTATAGCTACTCCTTCTTGCAAATGTTCTACATTTACCACAAAGACGGTTTGTGACAAAAAGGAAGAGTAACTTCCCAAGAATCTATAAATGTTTCAGTCCGCATATCTGGCAACTCATAGAATATGAAAATGAAAGAATATGAAGAGAAAATCTAAAAATTTTTAAATCTATTATTTTGCAGTCATTTTATACACATACCAATAACAGCTCTAATTTTGATAAAAACAGTGCTAATACTGAAGTAATCAAAAAACAAAGTCTAGATGTAGCAAACACCACATTCATAAACCCATGGTAGCCATGTAAAATAGCCCAAGTGTAAGGCAATTTAAGATCTGAGGATACTTATTTTTCCATAGGCTGCCATAAGTTAAAAATATTGTTTCCTTACCAGTTCCCATTTTTTTTTATTTTGACTCTAATATAAATTACCTAATCTCTCATACAGGTGCTTTCTACAATTGTTTTTCAAAAAAAGTTCAGTAAAGGGGAAAAAGCAAATGTATTTCTATTTACCTCTATAATTTAGAACTTGATGCAATATGAAGTATACTATGCATAATATCAACATAAAACATTTCAGAACAACACACCAGAACTATGGATTCTTTAATAAAATATTAATACCGTATGATAAAAATGTGTTTCTTTAGAATGCAGTCTATAAAGAAAACATTTTAAAGCCATAGCAAATACTCATTTATTGCTAAAAGCAAAACAAAATACACACTTCCCTTTGAAAAATTTAAATATATGTTTTCATGCATCATTGAAAGGTCAGAAGACAGAGATAACAGCCTAAAAGGGTGACTGTTAATACTCTATTTTCTGTTTATAGTGAGACAAAACACAGTTTTCGAATAAAATATGACATGACCGTATATAAAATATAGTATCAGCCACCATTTATGGGCTCCCTATTTGGGGCCTGGTATTGTACCATGTATTTTATAATTTATCGTATCATTACCCAATTCTACCAAGTAGGTATTCACTTCCTTTGTTCAAAGATGGAGATGCTAAGGTCTACAGAAATCATGAAGCTACTTAAGACAGGACTGCCACTCGGGTCTGTGTACTATACAATATTGCCTCGAAGAAAAACTCCTGTTATATGACCAACATTCTGCCAGGCTCTTTCTTCTATAATTGCTTAAGATTCCAATAAATTTATCTCGTTCTTTGCTTGAGGTTTCCTTAATTAGCTATTCCACTGTTCACTTCCACAAATCCAAATTTTATTTAAATGTATAGACTTCCAACTTGTACTACGGAGTACCACTATATATGTAATCAAAAATTCAGATTTTAAAAATCTTATTATTATTCCTGTGACTAGAAATCATCATACAGTTAGTTACTCCTTGGTGTATTCATAGTACCCACAAGGGTCACTGAACTCCAATAAACTTTGCAAATAAAAACTACTTCTAAATAGCCATTTAATAAGGATAGTAAGACCTATTAAGAAAATCATTAATACTTAACTTATTTCTTAAATGATAGCCCATGGGCTGCTATTAGTCCACTAATCCTCTCCAGAGAGTCCATAAACAGATCCCTGGAAAATAATATCTAGAAACATAACATGTCACCTAAATTTCTGGGTCGAATTAACACTCACTGGTGACTTCCTCTATGTCTCATCAAAAGCTATNAAGATAAGTAGGCTCAAAATCTTGTTTTTACAGACTTCAGTTCCTCCTTAGGAGGAGGTTGTCGATGTCCTCGAGTTCCCGGATGTGGGTGTCCTCCCTCCTAAGAAGCTCTTTGTGCTTCACTAGTTCCTGTAGTACCTCCTCATTGGTCAGACTACTGTGCCCTGCAGTGGCATTAAAAGGCTTGCTGTCCGGGATTTTCCTGAGGTCTTCATGACTTGTCAGATTCATATGAAAACTTGAAGGTGGCATTGTATTTGCAGCCCTGAATTTTGCTGTAAACGGATTAGCTCACTCATCACCAAAATAGTCCTGCTGATTTTCACTAAATGCTTTGGGTGATTTCAAGTCACAAGGGCTATCAGATCCCCCATTGTTAAATTTATCAGATCTGCTATCTTTTTTTCCCAGTCACTCTTTCAAAGAGGCTTTCTCCCTTTTCTCTCTCTTATTTTCTGTCCTTACTTCAACTGATTTTGTAAATAAATTCATGCTGCTGTCCCATGATTCACTGCTTTCTTCAAATGGATTTTTCTTCCTTGGCAGTGTTGCAAATTTTTGGGGTAATGAAGCAGTTACATTTGTAAATGGGTCATTTCGTCTTCCAAAAGACGATTCACCTTCATCCACACTACTGTCAGGTTGGTTCATTTTAGAAGTATCAAAGCTTAATGTTCTTCTGTGTGGAGATTTGAGACTTCCTGCAAACAATTTTGTAGTTAGTACATAATCAGTGACACATTACATCACATTGTTTGACACATTCTGTGTGCATACTGCTGCTTTTAGAATGAGAGCAATTAGCTATTTAAAGATATTAACCTTTAAAATAATCAAGGAAAACAATCTTAAAATACTAAGGTGTAGCAGTCCTAAGAACGTAGGCTAGTAACAATTAGCATATTGCTAGATAATCAGTAATTTACTCAGCTCAGAAAGAAACAACCACAAAAACAAACTACAATGTCAAAACCAGACGGTCTGCTTGGCATAACAGTGCTATAAATTCTCAAAGACGTCTTTACATCATTAGGATTAAATTTGCTTTCTCACTTCTGAATAAAAGGTTTTTTCCTGGGAATTTTCTGATTGAATGGAATATTCTTTTATGCATCAGACTTTTGAGACAAGAGAAACAATAGTAAGAAAAGCAGCCAGGCCATGAAAAGTGACTAGGAATCAATTTTTATTATCCAATAATATAAATAAAATACGGAATGCAGACAAGTGCTGCCTTTAATAAACATCAATTCTGAGTGTAGTAGGTACTCAACTATTTGATGGCTGAATTTAGAAAACACTACCAAGAAAATTACAATTTTTATTTCCTAATGTTAGAAGTTAAATTTTAAAATTAAAAGGGCAATGTAGACCACTGAGGATACAATTAGAAAGAACGTGGCACTTACCACTTTCAGGAACTGCTCCAAAGGAATCTATCTGGCGTCCGAGAAGATGTGATTGACCAACGATGCCAGACTTCAGTTTCTCAGAAGACATGTGGGCCCCAGTTAAATCAGACATTGAATGTGCTGAAGAGAGTCGCTGAGGACCCAAAAGGAAAGGCTTTTTTGGTTTGGATTTCATCGGTACCTCACCACTTGGAAATTCAGTATTGGCATCAGGTGTGTGAGAACTTGGAATGATTGCAGAAGACGTGTCAGAAAATGTCCCATCATTTTTTCTACCTTTCATCTTATCTTTTAATTTTGCAAAAGGAGATCTTGTTTTGTCCTTCATTGATAAGTCAAACATACTCGCTGTCATATTGTTCCTCATGAATTGAATATTGACCTTTATCTCACCCCTGTTTTTGGCTCTTTTTCCTTGTTTGGATTCTAATCTAAACCACCTTAAAGAGAAGGAAAAACTAGGTTTGTAACATGTAATGAAGAGGGTATCGAGCTTTGTTATATACAAATAGCTATTTAGGTAAAGCTACTATACATCAAAGCAATCTAAGCACTGGATAAGTGAGCCTCTGTTAGCCAGAGTACTCCTGGTTTTACTCAATGTTTAATTTTAAAAAAACTCATCACTGTATCTGTGGTGACAGATACTAAAGGAATGGGTTTAGTAAGTTTGAAAAAGTTTTTAGATAACCTCCTTCAGGATTTGAAAGTCATTCATCATCAAAAGTTTCTAACCAACGACAGCCATTATGTTTCCACCTGGGATAAGTGTTGGTAATGGCCTAAGAACATTTCTTAACTTGAAAGAGGCAGAGGTTAAGACTCTGACCGTATTCATAAATGCAAACTATTTTTGAGCACTATAAAATGAAAATGACCACATCTTTAATAAATATCTAGCCCCACCCCAAAATATTTCTTCTGTAAAAAATGTTTAAATTAATTTTAATATTGGAGACCAATACATAGTTTGCTAATCAAAAAAAATTTCATATGCTTAGATTCATATAAAATGGGTAAAGCCTTTACCTGAACAAAAAAATGCAACATGAATAAAGTACAGAAAATGAGATAGTCATCTTGTAGAGTTTTTGACGAAAAAAGCAAGCTTACACGCTTCCTGTTGGAATCTATGTGCTTCACTGACTACTGCTACTGTGACAATATCAAATAACAATTATTTTAATTGGAGCCAAATGTATTCTGCAGTCACTTCTCTGTATTACACTGACCATTGTTAAAAGATGTACAGCAGTTCCCCCTTATCCAAGGCTTCCGCTTCCATGTTGTCAGTTACACACTGTCAACTGTGGTGGAGAAGCAGATGATCCTTCATCTGACATGTCATCAGAAGGTAGCCTAACATTACACCACATCAGCCACCTCACTTCATCTTATCACCTAGGGATTTTACCATCTCACATCACAAGAAAAAGAAAGGTGAGCACAGAGTAAGATATTTTGAGAGGAGGAGGAGGAGACCACATTCACATGACTACTATTACAGAATATAACTGTTCTATTTTTAATTATTGTTAATCTCTTACTGTACCTAATAAACTTTATCATAGATATGTGTATGTACATAGGAAGAACATGGTATATATAATATGGTTTGGTACTATTCTTGGTTTCAGGCATCCATTAGTGGTCTAGGAACCTGTTCCCCATGGATAAGGGGGGATGATTATAAGAAGCAGTTTATTTTAGTTTTGTTTATAGTATTTTTATCCATGAGAGGGCAGTTGGTGTCATAAGAGGTCATTCTACAGGAAAAACAGCCAAAAATTACAAAACCAAGCCTAGAAGAGAGTTCCTACAATGTTTCACATTGCTTAACGATGAAGCATATTACCCATTCCTGGAGACAGATTATTATTTAAATACAGCTCTACTCAAATGTAACAAATTTTCATAGCTACAAAAGAACTCTGGTCTAATTTTTCATTAGTTTTCTCTCATTGTTACCAACATGATATGCCAGAAGCAGCTTACATTTACTATACATCAAGTGGGAGGCAGTGCACAAGTATTGCTAAGCAGGAAAGAACACTAGCATGTAGTATATGTATACCAGCTATACCTTAGCCAGTAACACACAGGGAAATATTTCTTTGATTAATTTAGGGTAATTCAATCTATTAAGACCTAGTTGCACGAAAACAAGCAATTTTTTAAAATAAAATATTTTATGATAGAAAGCATTAAGCTGAGAACCTAAACTGGGAAAAGCCCTCATCTGAAGCAAACACTGAAATCTGAAGACACAGGACTTAGAAGAAGAAATGACAGCAGTCAACCCTGTGGAATAGAGGACCCAGACCAACACAAAAATAAGCACTTCTTAGAAAAGCCTGGAAATCAAACAAGGTTAGTGCCCAGTTATTGGAAAACAGAGACATTTTTAAGGGGAGAGAAGTACTTCTGGTGAATGGAACATGAGAAATACTCTAACATCTCTCAGGTTTTACAAAAAACAGTGAATACACTTGGCAAGCAATATACCAAAGACAAAACAAAACAAAAAACCCCAGCATGTAGAATTTCCATGTATCTGACACATCAAAGCAAACTTAAGGAAAAAACAAAAACAAAAACCGATAACCCAATAAATGAAAGGGGAGATGAGGATAATCAAAATTCACACGATTTCAGATATAAGACCAAATAAATCAACTACTTAAACATCCTTATTGCACAGATGAAGAAACTGAGGCAAAGATTCCCAATATCAGATTAAAGTTAGTAAGGAAAACAACCAAAGTTGATGACTAACATCTGTATGAAAATAATTCTTTCCTACCTGATGAACCACATGTTAATAAGGTTAAATGCATCGCTGATCATATATTACAAGACACTGTATTTAATCAGGAGACATGACAGCCAAAGAGAAAGGCAATGCAGGTCTTCTGCTAGGGCGTATACTTCTTGAAGGCACTTGGCCTTGCACTAAATAAATGTTCACTGAATTTTTATTTCTAAAATATTCTTAAAACAGCCAAGTTACAACTCTGTGTGTGTTCTTCATTCTTTTGTTTTATGTTGGGAATGCTAAAGACTTAGGTAAGCTTTAAAGAACAAAGTAAGTGTTTGAATACAAACTGTAAATACAGTATATTTCCTATCCTTCCCCCTTCAAAAAAAAAAGAAAAAACTGCAAAGAACTTTAACAAATACACTAATTTAAAATGTGGTGTGACAAATAACTTTAGCTGCTTTGTTTTGAAAGTAACGTTAATAGGGAAGTCTTAATGAGACCTTCAAGAATCATTCCAGAGATAGCACTTGTTTTCACAGGCTTCGAAAAGATAAAATGAAGACACAGCATTTGGGGCTTAGTGGATTAATGCTGACTTTTTTCACCTCTGGAGTGCTGGATTTAAACTGTATATGGCCTCTGTTCAATCTTTAGTGGGCACAGGTCCATGTTCAAAAACCACCACACATGTGGGAACTATTCCTAAGCAATTGGTACTGTGTGGTCAGAAATGGAACAAGATTGGCAGTGAGAGTGCCAGAGGCCAGAACACAGGTGCAAAGCAGAGACCCACACAAAAGTACCAAAATCTGCTTGTGTTTGAGTCATACCTACTCTAGGGACTCTGATTGCTATTACTTTACACGAGCATTCCAAAAAAAAAAAAAATCAACATCACCCACTGCTGTTGTAAAAAAAAAAAATTGGTATTACCTAACAGCATGAACAATTTAACCATTTTATTATTAAACAGTGTATTATTTCCTTAAATCTTGTGCCAGAACCTGCCCAGACACCCATTAAAAGTGAGAGATACAGAAGTTCTCTTTCCATGCCCCACTCAAAGTGTTCTGGCTCAGGCCCTTTTTCCCCTCTTCTTAAGAGAAAAAAAAAAGGCATTTAATTTCAAGGTATAAAAATAATAAAATAATAGTTTTAGCCACCACACTTCTTTGCCTATCAAGACACAACTAGAAGACAAGCTGTAAATACTTTTCTTCAGTGTCAAAAGTAAAAAGTGTCACACCCAGCAGCTTCGTGGGACTTCTAAATCATCTGATAGCTAGCCTTCATCACTCATACTGGTTTTCCAAAAAGCACATGGGAATATGCTGACAAGGTTCAGCAACATGCAGAATATTAAATATCTTTCTTGCAATACACTGGTGGCTCAACTCTGTCTCTTACTGTGCCATATGTACAGCTGTGCTGGAAAAGGAAGCTATTAAATATATTAAAAAGCCAGAAATATTACCAATAAAGATACTTCATCAAATACGTGGTCCCCATTTATTCACAAAGAAAATGTTAGGGATTTAATAACATATGAAAATCACTTTGAATGCAATAACATCACAAGCTCTGTTGATAACATTTAAAAGCATTTTTCCCCTAAAACTTCTAATCGGTTTTATATAGTAGCCCAGAGAATTTCTGTAGGGAGACTATGATATTAGAGTATTGCTTACAGCCAAATTTACTGTAATTGTGATGCTGCCAAAGATAAGAAGTAAAAGAGGAGGAAACTTTAAAAGCTTATTTCACCCTCAGAATCTCTGGGTCCACAGCAGGGCCTAGTTTTACTTGGAAAATTTCTATTTCAGAGAAAGCCTGTAATCCTTCATTCACTACCATTAAAAGTACTGAAAATGTAGTATGCAGTCTGAAGCTACAACATACTTAAAAGTTTATATTCAAAACACTTTAAATATTATATAGGAAGTGTCACCCAAAATTGGCAATCTGAAACAAATTATTTGGTAATTATCCATTTTTCATTTTAAATTAAATAAAGAGCCCCTCAGGGAAAAGTGAATGCTACTTTGTAGGGAATCAGTTTTATTAGTTTCATCGATACATATTCAACTTCACTTCCTTTGAACCCTTTTCATTCATTTTTCTTAAAATACTTTCATCTCAATTAGTTTAAATATTTACCATTTTTCCTCTTGAATATATAGTATTTTGTATCTCTCTACCCTTTTATCCTATATATATTAATCTTTAGGTAAAGACTTTATGTTCTGAAAAAATTTTTAATGAAAACATAAACTCCACAGAAGCTTGCAGGAAGACCTGTATAAAAAATAACAAAGGATGGATGTTTTGAAATAGAGAAACTGACATGAACTTCAAGAACATTACCATTATAAAAAAGTTTTCAACAGGGTAAATAAATTTCAGTTTTGACTGAAAGAAACACCAAAGCTATTTTGGAAATATGAAGTTCTCTGATAAATTCAACATAAATTTTTCTCTCACTAATTCAATCTTAAAGTTCTCTTGGACTAAAAAAATTATAATTTGAAGGACAGGGTGAGTATACCTATCTCTGAAAACACACTGCTTTTCAATTTAGTACACAAATATCCTAGCGTTAATATTTATATTAAGGTTTTCCTAGAATATATCTCCCCTAAACTTGAAAGTCATATTTAAAAAGCCATGTTTTCATTGACAATGTCATTAAACCATTTCATCACAAGAATTTAATGTCTCCAATCTGACAGCACTCAATGTGGTCAAAACACACTAGTTTTGCAGAAAAAAATCTGAATGCACTAGCCAACAGATTGAAAACTCAAGGGAATATGTTAGTGTATTCAAGGTTGAGAACATTTGTACATACTTTTGAAACTTTTTTTTAACAGCTTTAGACTTCAAGATGTGCCGATCCTAAAAAATGGTTAGGCTAAACGAAGAGCCAAATGTGTTACAATGCTCAAATGAAACAGTGAGTCCTAAATTTGGTAATTTACTTTTGACAGCTTCAGAATTCTATATATACATGTTATATTGGCAGATTTAATTTTCTGATGTTCCCATTTCCTGGAAAACTATTATGTTTAATGATTGTTAACAATTTACTCTTAAGTTTTAGGTGGTGAACACTGTGGTCCAGATCTCTTTTAAGTAGTGAAACAATTTAAATGTACTAAAAATCCAGTGCAAAATACTCAACTGTTTAAGACGTTTAACTTAAATAGAAATGAGAAATGGATCATTAATGACTCCACTTAAAAAATGTTTCTACACAAGGACTATTTTTACTTTAGATTCATGCAAATATGGTGCTTAAAACTGGGTCATATTTCAATCCAAAAACCAATGCCCCAGCTATACAAATAATTTCCAAGAACAGAAACTCCATAAGATATTGTTAATCTCCCCCCAATTCAAAATAAATTACGTAACTTACTCTGTTTTCCTTCTTTGTTTGTCCTCAAAGATGTCATTGAGATTGATTGCCACCTGCCCTAAAAACTTATCCAGACCCACCAGGGACCTGTGCATAACTATGAGGAAAAGAACGTATTTCTCTGGATTCCCCTGCATTAACAATCCAGGTAGTTCAAAAGAAGCCTCTTCCTTCCAGACTGGCTCAAGGGTTTTCTCAGCTACAGAGGTGGAGTACTTTTCCTTGCCCAGCTGAATTATAGTGTATGTGTCATTGGTGCCACTTTTGCCTTTTGGCTTTAGATCTTTGGCTTGGAGCACTGTGACCTGCACGTGGGTGGGAAACCACTTTGGGGCTGGCTCGGACAGCATCATTCCGTCCTGCTTCTCTACACTGAGTTCAGATGCACAGGCAGTGCCCCTCCCGGGGCCGGGAGAGCCTAATTCCTCAATCACTGCATCCTAAAGTACGCTTAAGCGCGAGAGGCAAACTCACAAGTGCCCGACTTCCCTAGAGCTGATGTCAAAACTCACTGGGGCAGCCCGGGGGCACGGCTGCTCTGGGGGTCCCCTTTCCTCTGGAGAAGCACAGGGGCCCACCATCACCTGGCCGCGCCGTCCAGGCCTCCGCGCAGACCCCCGCGCCTAGCGTCCGCCCCTTCACGCTCCGCAGGCCCGGAGACGGGCCCTCGGCGGCGGCAGCGGCTCCCGGGCCTGCGGGCAAGTGAAGCCTGGCCTCCAGGGCCAGGCGGAGGGCTGAGGAGGTGGCGGGGGGCACCTCCCCGCCCTACAGACCAGAGCTCACTCGCCCAAATTTGCAGCCCCCGGAGCCCCGCTTGCCTCCTCGCGGCTGGGTCGCCCCCGCCTCGCCCGCGACTCCCGCCCACCCTGAGCGCGCTGGCGGGCCCGGCCGGGCTCCTCCTTCGACCCCGGTAATACGAACCGCCGGCGGCCCGCTCGGCCTTACTCCCTCGCGCAAACCTCTCCCTCCTCCTCCTCCCCCTCGCCTCGACTCCTCCTCTCGGGCGGGGGCAGGGGCGGGGCGCCTGGGGGCGGAGTGGGCCAGGGGGCGGGGGACGCGGCCGCCCCGGTGCGGGCCGACCGCGGGGCGGTCCGCAGGCTACAGGGCGGCGAGCACCGAGCTTGTCTTCGCCGACCGGCGGCTCCTAGCACCTGGCGGACGGCAGCGGCGGCACTTCCGGGATGGCTTTCTCCATGTGGATCTCGGGAACGCGAGGGGGCGGGGCCTGGGGGTCAGGGGTCAGCACCTCCCCGGTTGCCGTGACGACCGCGGGCGCGCGACGCGAGCTCCCCGCCCAATGCAAGCGTGCTGCTCGCGTGATTTAGCGCCCGCTGCTGCAACCAGGCACAGCGCTGTCCACCAGGGACGTGTGGGCCTGCTCCGGCCGGCAGAAGAGCCTGGTGCGGATTGGGGGACAGTCCTTGAGAGGTGGCAGTCAAAGCCCCGGACCTGCCGGACCTAGGGAGAGACCCAAGTTCAATCACTGGAAGCTGGCTTTGCTGGAGCCTGGATGCCCGGAGCCTGGCACAGAGCGGGCAGGAAGTTCACTAAATGGTGGTGGAATTAATCAGTCCCCTTCACTGACCGAAAACATACTTCTCCCAAAGCCCTTACCCACTCTTTCTTTTGCAAAGGAGAGAAAGCTGTTATTTGACTGGAATTGAAAGACCTCACTTAGTGTGGTGTCTTTATCTGAGGAGACCCTCCCAAGGATCAGCGAGCTCACGTTCCGGTTGCAATCAGCAAGAGGGATTTTTATTCAGTCACACAGGTACCTGGGACGGCGGAGTCTCGAGGAAGACTCCCCCCAGCTAGGAAGCAGGGAGTTTTTATAGGGTAGCTAAAAGCGCGGGTACAGAAGCGAGAAGCATGGTTACAGGGGTTTCATTGGATGGTTTAAACAATACAGGGTTTGAGCTCAGAGGGGACTTTCCGAGAACTCGGGAGGGCGGTAAGGGTCTGTTTATCCAGGATGTAGCTGGTTTCTGTTCCTGGAAACGGGTCCAGGTGCTTAACCGCCGATATC